GAGCAAGTGGTCAGAGCCAACTGACACCAACTTATGCAGTCACAGGTTTGAGAGGTTCAACCACCGACCAGGCGGGCGAGAACGCTGGTTCAGTAGCCGCGAGGGGAGGTGTAGGCATGATCCTGATCCACAGCCGTTGGCACCCATATCACAAACGCCGTTCGCCAAGATATCGTGACGATGTCCGAGTGTGCTTGATTCATGTTTTCTTCTTTTATCAAGTCATTCACAAGTCAAATGCAGAGTGTTAGGTTGGTGTTGGCAGTGGGTAGCCGGCCGAGGCCATGATGTCAGGGTACATGGTGTGCCAGCCGCGCATGAGCAGCTGCAAGTGCTCGGGGTGGCTCTGCCCCAGCGCTTCGGGATGCTACATCAATTTCATGGCATTTCAACAAACTACAACGCTGCGTACCTCGGCAAAGCACACATACACGGTCGCGACCGCGCCATCGATGGTGCTGAGGACAACCAGCGCGACGGCTAGCGCCATAAAGAAGGAGCCGAGCCCCACGAGCACTAGACAGCGCCTTTATACGCGTACTTGCGACGACGGGTGGAGCTACCTAGCGTGGCGGTTGCCGATGTATCTATCGCGCACAAGGCAACGCCGACGCCGCTGCAAATGAGAGCTACCAAGGACGCAATCACGTCATATGCCAACTGATGTCCACGCTACCGACGACGAATGCCGAGAAGGCGAGCGCACTCGAGATGAGCTCGTCATTGAGAAGCGTCGTGAAGCCACGGGCTTTGAAGAGCTGCATGGTGGCCTTGCCGGCTTGGACGAACGTGTTGCCGTAAACGCCGACGTAGACAAATGCCCAGTGGCTGAAGAGCTCGAAGAGGGAGACGAGGCAGCTCATGAGACAGCTCGCGACGAGTGCGCCGACGCCTCCATTGCGGCTCGCCATATCGAGAAGCTACGCTGCCACGTCAGGGCGATTTCCAAGGAGGTGACGCACCTGCTTCAGTACTTGAAGAATCGCGACAAGAAGCGATCCGAGGCAAATGGAGCCCAGCGACGTGGTCGTCGCGCGCCGCAGAGCGCGAGCTGTCGGTGCGGCACCCTCGCCGTACCACCAGCTCGCGACACCGCCGGCGATCGTGACGGCGTTGATATTTTTGAGGACCTAGTCCACGCGCCATGACAACTTGTACAATTAAACGTATCACAAGACAATGTACCGAGACGCCCCAGAGCAGTGAGAGCGAGAGTAATACCGCGGGCACCGCCGGCGTCGACGCGGGCGGGGCCTGCACAAAGATCCCGTAGAGCGCGATGAACCTAAGGCGATGAAAGAGACACCGCTGTGTGCTTGCAACGTACCACAGAAGCGTCCAGAGCAGCTGAACAAACACCAAAACAAAGCTTACTGGCACGAGCGCCTTGACGTCCGAGAGCGCGGCCGCCGCCACACGGAGGTTGGCCGCCGCGAACGGAAGCCGGTGGCGCACGCCATACATGTAGCTACCCACGGTGATGCGTCGCTCAAGGCGGCACCGTTCGTACCAAGCAAAGAGCGCCGTCAGAACGATGCCAAAGATGACGAGCACAATAGCGTTAGTGAGAAGGCCAAGCACCGCGACACTGACGCAGAGTGTCAAGTTGGCCCTACACACGACAATTTCACGACCACCAAAGACGCAAGAGTGTGAGACCATAGTCCAAAGACAATGATGTTGGCGGGAAACTTGAGAATTGCAACCACCATCAGCGCCGAAACGCCGAGACTCGCGACGAACATGGCCGCCATGATCCCGATGCCTTTGCCCACGAACGTCACGTCGATCGAGAGGGCGTTGGAAGCGTCTTCGTTGTCCTTCAAGCTGGGAACACCCCAGAGCAACGCCACAACGAAGATACCGAGCACGTTGATAGCAAAGAGAACTGCAAACGGCCAGTCGCGATACTGCGCGAGACCAGACGGTGGCGCTGTGGGTCGCAGCGACGGGACAGAGCCGGTGGACAATGGCTTGGCCGCATCGACGTCCGGCGCGGGCACGACCGTGGCGTGCATCGTAGCTCGAAATGCCAAGAATAACCTGGACGGCCGTCGTAGCCCTAGCCCTACGGTTTGACCTAGCCCTACAGTTGGTCGTGTTGTTGAAGTGGGTCCTCTCGTAAAATTGATACAATGACGCTAGATCAACTATTGTCGGACTTTCTACACTCGGTTGAAGGAGTTGATCGGCGGAGGCAGGAGCGCGATCCACGGGACAAGGTGTTGCCATCGGCTTCTTGCGAAACCTTCGCCTAGCTGCCACGAAGGCAGCTCATGACATTCCCGCGGGGTAGCCCTATGATACTATTTTGTATCTGGGGTTTTGTTCAGAGCACTCGGTTCTCTTTGGCGGTCGTGTTCCATAGAGTCGGCTCTGACTACTGCTGGTACCCACGTCGGTCTCCGCTACTTCACACAGGAATACATGTACTGTTAGTGAATGCCCATGCAGTTTGCCTTTTACTACGTCTGTCGGTTTAGTACACGACGTAGTAGCCCGACGCGACCATGATATCCGGGTACATGCGGTGCCACTCGGTCATGAGCTCGTTGAAGTGCTCGGGGTGCGACGTCTGGAGCGCCGCCGGGTCCTAAGAGCATCGATCGTCGCCTAGTCGCATCAACACACTAGTCGTACCTCGGCAAAGCACACAAAGATGGTCGCGACCGCGCTGTCAATGACGCTGAACGGGATGATCGAGATGCCGATGCCAAAGATAAGCCCCATGATCGGGATGATGACTTGCGAGTTGGTGAACGTCGTGTTGGCCGGGTCAATGTACGTGTACACAAGCCCGAGGCCGGCGCAGAGAAAGCCGACGCCGAGCGAAGCAAAGAGCAGCACGTTGCCGATGAGGTCGTCGTTGATGATCGTGTCGAAGCCGCGGTCGCGGAAGAGACCAATGACAGCCTTGCCCGCGTCCGTAAACTTGTATCCATAGATACCGACGTACACGAACGCCCAGCGGTTGAAGTACTCCATGAGGCTCTGGAGGCAGCCGAGAATGCACTCAGCAATGCACGCAGCCGCGTCACCCGACCGACGCGCCTCCTCGGCCAGTTGGCGCAGCGCCTGGAGGATGGCGACGATGAGCGAGCCGAGGCAGATCGAGCCAAACGAGGTCGTGAGCGTGCGCTTGAGCGACGCGCCGGTCGCACCCGCCGAGTTGGTCGAGTACCACCACGTCGCCACCGTGCCTGCCACGGTCGCATGCGTCACATTCTTGATCGTCTAGTGCAAAGTCAGGATCGAAGTCAGGACCAAAAGACGGAGCTACCTGCATGCCCCAAAAAAACGAAATGAGCATGAAGAAGTACGCCACGTACGACGCCGACTTGAGGCTAGCCGCCTCGCACTGGTACGTGGCCGAGCACTTGTTGGACATGCAGTCGCTGTTCACGTTGCAGCTCGACCCGTTCGGCTTGCCACGCGTCGACGTCGACGAGTCCTTTTCGTTCAGATGGTTGGCGAGCCCGAGCGCAGCGATCGCCCAGACGGCCACCCACACGATCTGCAAGAAGAGCATCGAGAATGCGACGCAGTACGTGCTCGCGTGCTTCTTGATCGCCGCGGCCGCGCAGCGCAAGTTGGCGGCTGCGAACGGAATGCGATCGCGCACCGCAAAGGCGTAGCTATTGGCTCCATAAGACATTGCGGCCATCAAGGATACGGCGCGCGTACCAAAGAGAGAAGAGGACAAAGATAGCACCGAGGATCGCGAGGCCATACTGCTGCTTGATCGCGGCGTAGATGGTGAAGAGCACGTTGAGGCCGACACCAAACCTAGCGCGCGTCGTGCGTTAGATGCGAGCATGCATGTCGCGCGTACCAGAGCGAGAACGTGATCATGCCACTGGCAAAGCGGACCATGAACGAGAGCATAAGGAGCGAGAGCACGCCCGAGAGGACAACCATGACACTTGAGATTATGAGCACGGTGCGCATCTCCTTGTCCGAGAGAAGGTTGTTGGACGACGTCGACTTGGTCGAGGTCGTCGTCGATGAAGAGTTTTGAAGCACGGGGATGCCCCACGTGACGAGGAGCACAATCATGGCGGCGACGTTGCCGATGAAGAGGATCGCAAAGGGCCAGTCGCGGTAGCCCGTCGACGCCGGCGCCTGCGGCTTCATCGACTGCACAGGTCCGAGGTGCGCGGTGCCACCCTGCGGCGCCGGGACGCCCACAGGGATCCCGTACGGGTCCATCGCCGAGGTATTCTTCTGGTACATGTTGCTGCCAAATTCCAAAATGGGCCATCCGAAGTTTCGGGCGTGTCCATTGCTTCGAACTTCGCTACCTACATACATTTATCAAGTGTTTTGCAATGCGCCGAGGCCATTGGTGGAAAGTAACCAATGGCCTTGACGCATATCCGAATGTCGAAGGTTACGGCGGATGGAACCACAACGTCCAGAAGAGGCAGAAGTTGAAAACTTGAGCTGGCGAATACACATCCTGCTCGTACAATAGTGTAGCAAGGTATTGTGTGCAGCCAGTAGTAGCTTGAGGCTACTCCTTCCTTGCCACCGCCCTTCGCGTTCGACATTGCACTTCTCGCGTCGTCCCGATGGCGTTACTACAGGACGACACCTTGGCTGCACAACGTTGGCGCCAGCCTTCGTGGCACATTGACGTACACACAGCAGCTGACGCTGCGTGTCGCGCGCCTGGCTCCGTTATCAAGGCACCGTCAGTCCCCACACACCCTCTTGCTCCCTCTTGCACAGGATTGCTGCAAAATTTCACACAGGTCATTCGAAGTTCGAAGTAGAGCGGAGTGATGGTTGATGGATCTGCTACCGTTGGACAGACCAGCACTCCGGTCCCCTGCCATGTCTGCTAGCTCGCTGGGAGAGCTCCAGATCGACGCCGGGCATGTCGTAGCACCTCAAACAAGCTTGATGCGACGCCCCACGCCTCTCTAGAATCGACCGCCACACCCCAACGTTCGATCCAATTTTTCCTTTACCAACACCTTCCACGATGTGCGATGTAGCATTCTGGTACGTTCTGGAACAGTGCTCTGGTCGTCTCGAGTGCGTTCTAGTCCCTTGAGTCGTCGAAACCACAAGCTACGCGGGCGACGCAAGAGACCGACGCAAAGACCGACGCAGCATAGAGTGCAAACAACATGCATTACAGTCGTACAGTGCACGCTTACAAGCGGCTCGTCGCCTTGAGAAACTCCGTCTTGGCGACCGTGCGCATGTGCACCTCGTCCGGTCCGTCCGCGAGACGCAAGGTGCGCAGCGCGGATGCGTAGTACGCCAGCACAAAGTCCTGGCTCACGCCCGCCGCGCCGTGGATTTGGATGGCCCGGTCACAGACTGCGATCGCCATCTGCGGCGCGACGATCTTGATCATGGCGATCGCTTGCTGCGCCGCCTTGTTGCCCTTCTCGTCCATCTCGTGGGCCGCGTGGAGCGTGAGGAGGCGGGCGCTGTCGAGCTCGCTACGAATGAAGCATAAAAAATAAAATAAAAAGCATTTCCAACGGCGTCCTCGTACCAGCGCGATGTCGCGATCGACGACGCAACAAGAGCGTTCTCCCCGAGCAGCTGCTTGAACGCATAGCGCGTCTTGGCGCGGTGCACCTAGCGCCACAAATGAGCGATTCAGTAGGGGTAGGGTAGATCGAAAGGGGGTAGGGTAGATCAAAAGGGGTAGGGTACCATGAGTTCGAGGCAGCGCTCGGCCATGCCAATCGTGCGCATGCAGTGATGGATGCGCCCCGGGCCCAAGCGAGCTTGCGCGATCTCAAAGCCCCGCCCATCTCCTACGCATATTGTCAGTTGGACTCTTTTTCAAAAATATAAAATAAAGATTACCGAGGAGGACGTTGGCGACCGGCACGCGGACATTGTGGAAGAAGATTTCGAGGTGGCCGTGGGGTGCATCGTCGTAGCCAAAGACATGCATGGGGCGGCCGAGCTCGACGCCCGGCGTGTCGATTGGCACAAGCACCATCGACTGTTGGCGGAACGGCAACCGCGCTTTGGCGCCGAATGCGTCCTTCATCTTGCCCATGACGATGATGAGCTTGCAGCGCGGGTCGCCGGCCCCCGAGATGTACCACTTGGCGCCGTTGATCACATACTCATCGCCGACGCGTTCAATCTAACAATCGTCATTTCACGGGATCGAACCCTGTACGACTCGTGCCAGACCTGGGTGCAGACGTTGGTCGCGTCTGACGACGCCACGTAGCGCTCGGTCATGGCAAAGCACGACCGAATGTCGCCGTTCAGCAATGGCGCGAGCCAGCGCGTCTTTTGCGCCGGGGTGCCAAAGCGAGCGAGGATCTCCATGTTGCCCGTGTCCGGTGCGCTGCAGTTGAAGACTTCGGGCGCCAGCACGACGCAGCTAGCACCTCTCATCAACAAAATGTCGGAGGCGACAAGGACAATACCGGCCCATGATTTCGCACATCATGCCATACTCGACGTTGGTCAGCGGCGCACCGTACGAGACGCCGTCGATCGTGAGCGGCTGCATAAAGAGATTCCAAAGCCCGAGCGCCTTGGCTTCGGCCTTGAGCGTCTCGATGATGGGCGCCACGGCCGTCCATGTCTTGCCGGCCGCGCGGTTGGCAGCTTGCTCGGCCATAAAGACCGACTCGGACGGAAACACGCGGGTCTTGCAAAACGCGAGGAGCTTGTTGTACGTGGCCTTGGCGTCCGCGCTCATGGGCAGCCCGAGGACGGGCGCCGCGACCTCGTCACGCGTGACGACCGACGGCGACTGCACGAGCGCCGTGGCGAGCTGCACCAGCATTCCGTACACATTCCGCGTCTTGCTAGCATGCCCTGACGACGCGTTGCCCTACACAAGACAATATTGGTACGAGTTTGGACAACTTGTCGATCGTGTAGTGTACCTGGTGGCTACGCGCGTAGACCCCTTGCACGATCACAGCCATGCGAAAGACCACGAGCGCGCTGAAGAAGGTCCACGTTGTCGCTGTCGGCGGGTACACGGTTGCCCGTTCGACGTAGCCCGATAAGAACGTCGCTTCGCTCGGGATGCCGAGGCGGTCCAGGCGCTTGTCGGCGAGGCCCGGCAGCAGCTACACACGATACGACATGTGAAACGCAAGACTACAAGCCAACACACCGGAAAGGTCGACGGGATGCGGTACATGGTGCAGAAGGTGGCCACGTCTGCTAGCGGATGGCCAATCGTACTGAGCTCCCAGTCGAGGATCGCGAGGATGCGCGGCTCGGTCGGGTGGAGGATGCAGTTGTCAAGGCGAAAGTCGCCGTGCACGATCCCCGCACGCTCGGGGATGGCGTCGACGTGCGCCTCGAGCCAGTTGCCAAGCGTCGCCAAGCCGGCGTCTTCATGCAGCGTCGTGTTGAAGCCTGCGAGGATCTTTTGTTGCGCGACAAACTGCCGTGTCCACGTGGCGAGCACGCGGTTCGCGTACTTGGTCGGCTTGCCAAACGTCTCGAGGCTACACACAGTGCATAAGCTGCGTTCGAGACGAGGACGTACCCTAGCGCATTCGGGTCGAGCCCATGCAGCGTCGCGAGGGCGTCGTTGACGGCGCTGTAGATGGCGTAGCGCTCCATGGCCGAGACGCCCGGGAGCGACGGGTCCTTGAAGACGCGGCCGTGGATGTACTCCATCAGGTAAAACTCCGTGCCGAGCACGGAGGCGTCGGCGCAGTACGTGACCATACGTGGCACGGGCACCGGCGTCGTTTGCAGCGCCTGTGGGCAAACTCCAGAGACGTGATTGGGGCGATGGCGTACCTGCATGATGCGAAACTCGCGGTCGATCGCATGCGCCGACGGCAAGATCTTGCCAGATGGCTTCTTGCGCAGCACGAGCTGCTGGCCGCCGTAGGTCACGAGGTACGTCGGGTTGCTCTGCCCGTGCTTGAATTGCTGTACTGTCAGCGGCTGCGATGGCGAGCTAAAGTGGGCATCCAGGAATGCGCCAAGCCGGGCTTCGTCCAGCGGCTGGCGCACAGGCTCGACGTCGGGCGCAGTCATTCTCGTCGTTCGATCGGATCGTTAAGTGAGCCAACGCAAGGTACACCTCGGCTCGGTCGTGAAATCGCTCAAGATAAACTCATCAGACCCAGCCCCAGCTTGCCCTTTGGGCGCACTTAATCGGGACATCTGATGGCACCCCATTTTGCACCTCTATTTTCGGTTGTGTACCTGCCGTCGAGCGTCAAATGGTGTGTTTTTAGCTGCAGTGGATGCGAGCGAAAAGGGCAACTTGAAGTTGATGTAACGTTAGATAGAATTGCAAAACTAAGCTCTTAGAGCGACGCGCTGGTCGAGAGAAAGGCAGGCGGCAAGCCAATGCCCTGCGCCAGGAGTGCGTCGCCGTGCTTGGCGACCCAGTTCATCAGGTCCAAGCGCAGCTTGCATTTCTGGATGAGCTCCTTGTACGCTGGCGTGACCGACTTGTTGAGGCAGAGCGCGTTCGTGAGCGTCTTGCGCGCCAAGACACTTGTGAGGCTGCTCTGCAGCGCCTCGCGGATCTCGACCACCTTGGCCATGCGCTGCGTTCGGTAGGCAAACTTTTGCACCGTGTTGTACGGTGCAATTTTGTCCTGTGTCGCACTGTAGCACACATCGCACGCATTCTTGTAGCGCTTGGTCTGCGTCACCGCGTCGCGCCGCGTCAAACGGTGGAGGCAGCCAACGACGTGCGCAGTCGCTTTTTCGTGGCCATGGATCGCGATCTGGACACCAAGGTCCTCGAACTCGCCGTAGACGGCCATGAGGCGTAGGTATGTGGCGGGGCCGTAGTAGATGCCTGGGCAGTCCTCGATCGACGCAATGGGCTTGGACGAAGGTGGCAGTGGCGTCATAGTGGCCATTGGCGGTGCGGGTGCGAGCGATGCCATGTTGCTTGGCGTCGATGGTGCCATCGACAGGACGGGCGTCTGACGGGGCGTGGCCACCATGAGCACGGAATCGCCCAAGCTGGCGCTGCGCAGGTGGTTCTTGGACTTCTTGTGCGTCTTCCACGTCGTGGCGTTGAACGGTCCTTGGCACATGATGCGCTGCGGCGCACCCGACTTGCCGACGCAGTACTTGCACTCGATGTAGCCGCCGTCGGCGCAGGTAAAGCCGACCTCGTCGTCCTGCGTGACGTCATCAGACCACGAGTACTTGATGCGCTTCACGCGGCGCACGGCGTCGGGCGGCGCAGACAGCACCGAGTCGACCGCATCGAGCGCGGCCGGCGGAAGCATACCACTGCTGCTAGTCCCAAGCCCGTCCATCTTCGACGAATATCGGCCGTCAATATTATTATCCACCAATCATGCGCGCCGAATTCGGTTCCAGCCAATCCAATCACGTAATTGCCTGTAAAATATTCATATTCGAGAAATACTCGTCGGCATATCCAAGTAAGAATGACACTATTCAAGGAATATATCGCACAAATAATGTGCGCCACGGAGGTGTGGTGTGTATCTGCATTTCAGGACGTACCAAGGAGCATATCAAGGTCGCGATCGCTCCTGCATTAATTGCGCTGTCAAGCAGAAGCGAACGCTTGTTAGTCATATGCTGTCCTTCGCAATGCCCTTTCTACAAAGCTACAAAGGTGCCTTGAACCCATGCACGAACTACGTCTATTCACACCCAACTCTATGTGTATGCAGCGGGTGTGGATCATGGTGTGGCATCAATACCATAAGCTTGGATAATGCATGACGCCGCAAGAAGCATAGCTTCATCTTTGCCGACGATCAGATAAAGCTGGTCGAGAAACACCTCCCAGTGGACTCGAGCTAGAGCCCTACAAGTTGCGTGCAATCAGTCACTAGCATTGGAACCGTGGCCAATCAAATGCACGTATCTTGAGCCAAGCGCCAATCAGCGTCAACGGTCAATTGGCGTGACATGGCCACCATCGACGAGCTCGGTGACGACGCCAGCTTCTCCAAGTCCAACTGGATCGCAACCGACGCCAAGGCCCACGATGGCAACCTCTCGCTGCGCTACCTCAACGAGTTTGTCGGCGACCTCAAGTGCGCGTCCGCGCTCCTGGAGCGTGGCCTCTTCCCCGACGCCAAGGAAGTGACCGAGGTGCGCAATCCGCTCGTCAGCCTTGGCTCATGGTGCCATAGACCATGGGTGTCTTCAATGCCATCCGAAAGCTCAATCTCCACGTGCTTGATGCGGATGACGACGACGCGACGGGCCTTCGCAACGGCATCGTCGTCGTCGGCGATGGCATGACGCGTACGCCGCCTGTCTCGGCGAGTGCGACCACCTCATATCGTGTCGTGTAGCGCGGACCGCAACCATGTTTGCGAGTCGCACGAAAGGCTGGACGTGCTTTAGCGTCGACCCGATCATGCGCATGTCGACACCGGTGCGTCACGACCGGTCGCCAAATTCATGCCAATCATCGCGGTAGGAGGCGCCCGTGCCGTGGGCCGACGTGGACAAGGTCGTACCGATCTGTGCCAAGATTGAAGATGTCAGTCTGACTTCTCACACGCAGTCGCGTCACACCGTTGGCTAGATCCGCATTCGCCTCCACAAGGCGATCGTGATCTTGGTGCACGCGCACGTGACCATGCCGCAAGCGATGACGTCCATTCAAGCCAACACTGTCGTTGCCGTGCTCACGCTGCCGTGGTACGCTGCCTTCATCGGTATCCTCGCACAATCACGGGCGGTACTAGCTGCAACTGGTATGGCCACCAAGAAGAACTCGATCAGCGGTGCGCCAAATCTTGTTCGCCTCTGCACTCAGCCACATGGAGTAGACCGCCCACTGTGGTGTACGATGACATGAGCATCCTCTCGCAACACCGCGAGGTACGGTGATGCCATCCCAATCTCGAGTCCAAGTCCCTTGCCCAGATTCGCCTCTGGTTGCCAGACCATGCCAACCCCGACGCCATCGTACCCGTCGTGGGGGGCAGCTGCATCCGGAAGACGTATGTGCCGCCTCGACGCGTGCCGCCGCCGCTGGATGCGTTCCTGCACCAAATGCTCGCGACGCCAACGAACGACTTGCCTACGGACGTTTTGACAGCTGTCATTGACACCTGCCGCCGGTACATCTCGCGCGACAGGTCAAGTCTCAACCCCTCGGCATAGGTCACTGGCACCGACGGCGGCGCTGCTCTTGATCGGAGACCAATCCACGGTCCGCGCTGCCCTCCAAGCGAGTGGGTTCACCAATGTTCGTTGTCGCACCGAGCTCGCTGCGTCGTCGTCGATCATGGTCGACGCGATCGTTGATGTCGGCTACCTCCACGCCGTCCTCAGCCGCGTCGAGAAAACCAAAGCCTGTGGGCTCGTGACCGAGCTCCTCCGCTTGTACAAGTCGTGGCTACCAAAGAACGCCGGCGCCGTGCTCTGTCTCTCGGGCCGCCGCATGTTGCGGAGTACCAAGTACTTTGCGCGGTGCGTCATTGCCCTGTCGATTCGCATTCTCATTCGAAATGGGTGTTGTTAGGCCGTCGCTCGGGTGGTCGCTCGCCGTGACGCCGCTAGCCGCCGCCAGCTCGGAGTTTACGACGTTTCTGCACCATGCGACGGTGCACGATGCGCCGCCTGTCGCGACGGTCGATGATTCGCTGGTCCCTCTCGAAGGGCTCCGTCTTCGCCTCGAGGCGACATTTTCTGCGCGCTGTCCGGCGGCAGTGTCGGTGACGCGCATCGCTGACATTCTTGCGGACTCTCCGAACGTCGTGGTGCGCACGTCGGGGGTCGTCACACGGATCCACGCAATGCACGCAAAGCTCGTGCTCGTCGACATTTGTGATGAAGTCAACGGCAAGCTTCTTCTGGTGCTGCTGCGTCAGGACTCGCTCATGGCACCTGGTGACGCGCTGCGCATGCCGCAGACACTGCTTCAGCACCTCCAGCTCGGTATTGTCTTATGAGATTTCAAGTCCGACCAAGAACGAATGATGATTAGGCGATACGCTCGACGTTGTGGGCGACCTCGAGACGACGGGCACCGGGTCATTGAGCATCAGGGCGGCGGCAGTCCGCCTCGTTGCAACAGTGTCCAGGGACAGGCTGACGTACTACCAATAAGATGCAGCTTCCATACAGGACTCACCTATGCGTTCTTCGTCTATGGGTAGCCAACCAGGTTTAGGGTAGGGTTAGGGTTGGCTCAACCAAAGCCGCATCAGTGTCATGGTGCGGCCACGCGACGAGCGACGGCGCGCAAGTTTAGGGACATCATTGTCGAGGTGCTCGGCAATGATCCCGTCGATGTGTACCAGTTTCAACATGTACACCGTGTCCAGCGTCAAAATTATATATAAGAATAACCACCTACATCTCGTCGTCGCAGTACGATTCGCACTTGTTGAAGAGGAGCTTGGTGTCCTTGACGAACGACGCGCCGTACTCGGCCATGAACATGCCTTCGGGGAACTGGATGCTGGGCACGCGGCTCGCAAAAATCTGTGCGTCGCACGTCAGCGGAAACATCATTTCCCGCGGCAAGTGCTTCTCGGCGGTTTGCACGTAGATTTGGTCGCCGTCGTCGCGCCACATGTACAGATCGAGATACGGTGTGCCGTGGTCGGACGAGTCGGTGAGCGACGACTAGATACGAAATGTGAGATCATGCCATTGCAAATGTCAGACTATACCGAGGGGGCATACAAAAGTGGCGCCAACGGGTGGTGTGGCGCGACGCACGCCGCGTGAATCGCGCGCTCAAACACATAGTACCCCTTCTCCCACATGACGTCCTGGAGGTGGTCCCAGTCCGTCTCCCACGGCACGATGATGTCCGTGTCGGGCGTGTGCGGGATCATGGCCTTGTCCCGCCACGCGCCAAGGAGCGTACCAAAGTAGACAAATGCGACTTGGTCTTCAGCATTGAGCGCATTCAGCATGTCTTCCATGAGCAGATGCAGCACGGCCGAGCGGCACGGCCGTCCGGGCGAGGTCTCGAAAAGAGACGACTTGTCGCCATGGCCGACGCCGCACTGCTGCGGGCGAATCGGAAGGCAGTAGGTCCAGTCCTTGCCCGCACGCAGGCGCGTCACGTTGTTGTGGAACGGCACCAGAATGTCGGCGTGGGCTGGCGCCAGGGAGAGCGGCACCTTCTTTGCTGCATACACCGCCGTCTTGGCGCGAAAATCGCTATCGTCTTGCAGCGGACAGCGCGGCAGATTCGGCCGCGATTGCATGCGCTTGGTGATACCGGCGCTGTCACAGTGGGCTTGGCACGACTCGCTCGGGTAGGCAAAGGCGTACGGTATGTTCATGTCGATCGAGACGTTGAAAAAGGCTGGCGAAAAGTGCGGTGTCTGCACCGAGACGTTGTAGAGGCCGAGGCAGCGCAACGGGAAGAGCTCATGCCGCGCAACTGGCGTCGCGCCCTCGAGAACGTACGCTGTCTCGTCGACGCCACCGAGCATGCGTGGCGCCGTCGTCAGCGGTGCAAAGCGGAGGTACGGTACACCGTTGTCCGGGCCCATGACCAGCGGCAGCTCGGGCGCATACAAGGCACTCGCCAGCGCGTGGTGCGGAGCGATGCACGTGATTCGGGTGCGGAGCTGCGGGTCGTTGAAGTGGGCAAAACCAGCCGCCCAGAACGACGACGTGAGATCCTCCGTCGCGTCCGTGGCCACCTACACCATCCATGAGCACTGGCAAAGGCGAGCGATGACGCACGTTGAGCGCATAAGCGTTGGGTGGAAGCGCACCGTACTCATAAATGTGATGCAGCGCAGCGCCAATCGGCGTGGCAAAGGACCCGTGGCGCTCCAGCACCTAACCAGTCGGCGACAGTCAAGAGAGGAGCTCGATAACGCGGCTACCGTCGTCGCAGCCGACAGAAGGTGGTGCAAAATGGACGACCGGCACTTGCGCTCGCTCGTCGATAGAAGCGCGTCCATCGAGCCGGCCATGAGCCCGCACTCGAGTGAGTGCATGGGCAGGCAGTCCTTCCACGAGAGTTGCCGCGTCGGGAGGCTTGCATCGGCCGCACCGCTACCACACCGGAATGAGCCAGCGCAGAGAGAGTACCGGAGAGAGTACCGGAGGACGCTCACGTGCTCCTTGGACAAGACGAGTGGCGGCGGATGCACCGCGCGCGCATCGAGTGCAGCTTGAAATGCGGACGAGAGATACGTGCACGACTCGGTGCGCTTGGGGTACCGCGCCAGCGTCAAGAACCTACGTGCTATGAGCCACCGATGGCAATGGATGGTCCTACTCGGTGGTGCGGGCGTCGCGGTAATAGACGACGGTCGACAGCAAAAGCAGAAGCAGGACGCTGTAGCGCTTGGGGGCCTCGAGGAAGCGCGCGCGGAGAAGCGCCGCCTTGTCAAAGGCAATGGCGACCACGTTCTTGGGCCCGCCATCCATGCTGCTGCGACGTCGGTGCGCCATGACGAAGCGCAAACTGCAAACTGCAAAGTTGCAAGGGATGTCGAGGCCAGCTGTAGCAGACGTCCAGTACCGCTTACGTACGATGGTATTGGCCTAATCACATGCTTGGGTCGCGCATCGCACTTAATGGACCATCTGGTGCGTCCTCTGGTGTGTCCTTTCCGGACCAGACAACTCCAGATTAACTCCAGATTTCCTGCCGACGTACTCGGCCGACTACTGATCAAGTGGTGGGCTCACGGCAGGAACGACCGCACCAAGACGGCTTTTCTAGCCGCAGAGATCTCGCGTCATCCATACTCCCCTCACGTTACTCACACGTTCTGGACAAAGTCCTTTTCCGCTACAGTGTACTAGTAGTACAGGTTACCAGATTCCAATTCCAGACTCCAGACTCGGCGATGTTCCAAATCAAGTCTGGCCTGCAATTCACCAACAAGTATCTCGATATTCAACATAATGCATCTCGATAGTCAACGCGAGCCCATACGTGGCGCTTGGAGCCGTCATAATTCGAGATAGACTTGTTGAAATGAGTTATGATAATTCGAGTTAGCCTAGTCCTTTGAAATGATCTCACGTTGGGGCTCCGCGCATAGAGCGTGGTTCCGAAAATGCCAATATTAATCGAATCAAATCATTGAAAAATCATCCAGAACGTAATTCGATCCAACAAATGTGCCAAGTTGCTACCTGCTGCTATACGATTACGAGTACGCCGGTGGCTGCACCGAGGCGAGATCGAGTCGTCGCCAGCCCCGCGTCTCGTCCTGGCGCAAGACAACTAGCCCGACCTATTAGGCGAGGAGGTATTGAGTGGCAGACGTACGTGCAAGGAGGTCGCGGGTTGCTGGCGGCACGAGTGCGGCCGTCGTCGCTGTGCTGTGGCTCACGTCGGGGCTCACGTTCACCTCGAGAAGCCAGACGCGGAAGGTCTCATCGATGAGAAAGTCGAGGCCGAGCCACTCGAATCCTTCCTAGAGAGCAGACCCGCTCACGTCACCTCGGGTCTCTTGCAAGAAGGGTGTGTACCCCAACGCGGCGAAGCTTGGTCGCAACAGACGCCAGAGCCTCGGCGCAGGCAAACTGCATTGCCGGCCGCAGCGTCGACTCCCATAGTGCTTCGTGGCCAAGCTCTCTACAGCGAAATACCGTTAGCACCAAAGTGTAGGGGTAGGTGTACGCGAGGTGTCGCTGAAAACGAGGTAGCGGCCACATGTGCTCGGGAATCTCGCCGTGCGCAGCGCTCGTCACGTGCTTTTGAATCGAGTTGTTGCAGAGGTGCATAGTCCTAATCGCAGATGACAATAATCTCCACAAAATCATCCCTCGGAGACGACTTGTCCTGAAGGCTGCTCGACGATGCGAGGTTGTAGGCGGTCGATGCAAAGCGCAAGTAGCACGACTCGTACCAGAACACTTGAAGCGGCGCCACGTCCGTGATGAGAACCCACTGCCGAATGTCAAACTTGCGCCCGTGAATGGTGAGCGGTCGCTCAATGTACTGCTGAACGACCATCGGGGACGCCCAGATGGCTTCGAGCTCGGCCAGCGACGTCACGAGCTCGATGCCTACGTGCCATGAGACGATGATTGCTACGCGTAGAGGTCGCACCCCGGCCTTGCGAGAGGCCCGACGGCTTGGCGATCCACAGATTTTGCGTCGCGACAAAGTGATATTGAGGGTCGCAGGCTTGCAAGTGGCGCAATATCGCTTGAATTTCGTCGTGCTGCGCAGCGGGGATCGAAGTGGCGACCTCGCGCTGCAGCGCGCTGTACAAGCCATCGAGAGCAAGGGGGTTCAGAAAGGCTGTGTCAACCTAGCGTGGCGTCATGCGTGTGTCCTGGGTATTCGGAAGAAGGACCATGAGGAGGCCATGCGCGCGGGCGACGGATGTATCGGGATTGCGTCGCTGGAGCTCGGCGGCGATGGCCAGCGCTGTCGGCAGGTGCGAGGCAAAGGACGTCGGGTGCTTGAGGACAAGCAGCACCTGCGCGTAGAGAAAGAGATGGCGCCACTCGTCGAGCGAGGCGGCGCTGCGCGGCGCGATGTGGTGCAGGCTGTGGCGAAGCCGGAGGTGCGCGAGGAGCTCGTGCTTCTGGCTCAGTAGCACCGCGTGCTCGAGATGGTTGACGATGTGCGCTGGCTTGACGTACGCCCACTGCACCTTGGCGTAGTTGACGAAGCGCAGGCGGCAGGTCGGGAACGTCCAGTGGCGCACGGGCGCCCAGCCGTCAGCCTCGAGACACGCGATAACGTCCGGGTACTTGGGGTCGACGTAGAAGCCCGCTCCTGCCATGCCGAAGATATGCCACACCGTCGAAAGCCAAACCTGTTTTACGTTTTATAGGTTTTAGTGGGTTTAATAGGTCGTCAAAGGAACGCCGTGGTTGCTTGCGGGAGGGTGCGGGACGGTGATGGCTGTGGCCGAGTGCACCGAAAGAAATACGCCTGTATGAAGCTTGGGGGACCCTCTTCACGGCCGGACGGGTCTCGCCATGCGTCTAGGTAAACTCTACCTTTAACCAACTAAAACCAAGTCGATCCAAACGGTTTTATACTAAACCCAACTACGTAAAAGGTTGTATCCGGAACGTCCAAATCCGGACCAGTGGATTGCTGCAACATGGACGCGATCGAAGCCCGGAACGCGGCTGGCAACGACAAGTACAAGGCTGGCGACTACATAGGCGCGCGCGCCGAGTACTCGGCGGCGCTCGACCTTCTTGACGAGGTCGACAACGTGGCGCTGCACAGCCGTGTCCTTGCGAACCGGGCGCAGACGTACCTGCAGGAGCGCGATTGCGCCATGGCCCTTCGCGACGCCGCCGAGGCCATTGCGCTCGACCGCACCAACCTCAAGGCGCACTTGCGCAAGATCGTCGCACTGGAGAACCTCGAGAACTTTGAAGCGGCGCTCGCGCACGTGTACGTCCTCCTGCCCCTCGCCGCGTCGTCGCCCGATCACGCCATCTACATGCCGTCAGCGCTCGCGGCCAAGAACCGGCTGCGCAAGGCGTGCAGCATCGACCGCGCGGCCGCCAAGGCCCAGGCGTACGACGTTGGCAAGCTCGTACATGCCAAGCAGTCGCTTCGGCTCAACTTTGCGATCGCGTTTCCGCTGGCGCTGCCAGCTAACCACTGGCTCGACGTGACGGTCTTCCTCGCCAATGAGTTTGGCCTCTTCCAGCGCGGGCTTGTGGCGACACCGCTGCCGCTCGTGTGCGAGCTGCACACGCCTGTGCCTGGCGTGACGATCGAGGTTGACCCATTGCCCGTTGTGCTTGGACTCAACGGCAAGACGCACTTTCGACTTCGCTTCACCGCCGACAATGTCGATAGCAAGGGCTTGCCGTCGGTTGCGCTACGTGTCTCGCTCACCAAGGGCCACGGCCTCAACGACGTCTTGCCCGTCGTCACGCTGCCGCTACAGCTCCTTCCGCCGACGTCCAGCAAGTGGGCACCGGTCGAGCCCTCGACGCCCGACCCGCTCGGTATCCAGTGCTGCCGCAGCGTTTACGTCGACGAGATCGACACGTACATAACCTTGGCCGAGTCGCCGGGGCATCTCGGTACGCCACTTGCAATAGTTTAGCACGAAACCGAACCGACTGTCTACATGTAGGTATTGCTGGCAAGCTCTGGGACTCGGCGCTCATTTTGACAACGTACTTGGCGCGGAACCCACAGGTGCTGGCCGGTAAGCGCGTGCTCGAAGTCGGAAGCGGCCTCGGGCTCGTGGGCATGGTCTGCGCGCATCTCGGAGCGGCGGCCGTGACGCTCACCGACATGGACGAAGTCGTGCCCATGCTGCAGTACAACCTCAAACTCAATGCGCTCGAAGCGGTTGCGTCGGCGTCAGCGCTCTGCTGGGGCACGTCGCCAGCGCACTTGTCGCCGCCGTTCGACGTGGTCGTCATGTCGGACGTCGTCTACGACCCGACGGGCTATGCACCGTTGGTCACGACGCTGCTCGACGTGACGACTCCGTCGACGACGATCCTCATGGCGCATCGCTCCCGGCACCCGCAAGAAAAAGACTTTTTCGAGCTCCTCGGTGTGTCCTTTACCACCGAATCGATGCCGCTCCAAGGCGTTTGGGACCACGAATCCCGCATGACGGACGTGCAGCTGCTACGCCTCTCGCGCCGCGAGCAATAACCCCGTCACTAACCAAGTCGTTGGTCGATACCTCACGTCGCTTTAGTGCTGTACGAACGGGAGAGGAGGAACTGACGTGTCGGGTGATTGCACCACGTGGAGCACGTGAAGGGTGGTCTTGTGGCGCAGTGGGCTTGGCGTCGACCACCGCTACGAGTATAGCTTTTGGTTCCGTCGTGTAGTGCTGTGTCAGGAGTTCATGCTCTGGAGCGGGGTCAAGGGTAATGCCGTCGTCGTGATGCAACAAGCTCGACGTACGTACAGTAGATGTCGCATGTAAGTACTTTGGTTGGAGATGCTACGAACAGTGGACGCAGGATATAGTGCAAAATGAACTTGATATTGCGACGCTAAATGTCGTACTCTTCTTGGCGGAAGTCGCCAGCCTCGGCTTCGGATTGGTCGTCGACTTCAAATTCAAACTCACTGTCGGCCGGGAGGTTGTCGTCCGTGTAGCCTTCTGAGCCCGAGATCATCGAGAGCGTGTCGAGCTGATACGTCTCTTGCGAGCCGCCGTACGCTGGCACACGGCGCGGGTTCGAGTCCACCCCCGTCGAAACGCTGTGCGTATCGATCGATACCTCGGACATGGTCTTGCGCCGGGGCGCCGGCGCCGGCACCGAGCGATGGTACACCGAGTGTTGGTTGCGCATGTACGGGTGCGCGAGGATGGGCGGCTGCGGCTTGGCCGGCGGCTGGTACTGCGGCGGTGGCGCTTGGCGCTGCGGTAGCTGCGGCGACATGTACTGCGGCACCGTGTGCCGTGCAATTGGTCGCTGCACCGGCGACTGCACCGGCGGCGGCTGATACACCGGCGGTGCCTCCTTTGGCGGCGACGTGTACAAAGGCGGCACCGACACTTGCTTGGCCGGTGGCGGCTGGAACTGCCGCGGCGTCGGCAGCGACGGCATCGACGCGCGGTTTGGGACGTGAACATGCGGCGCTTGCGGCATCGAGAGCGCTTTCGGTCGGCGCAGAGGCGACACCATCGGGAGGTTGCTCGGGGCTTCGACGACCGCGTGCGTCGGCGCGTGCATCACGTGCGGCGTGTTCATGCGCTGCTGCATCTCTTCGCTCTCGGCGCAAATGCAGCGCATGATCGCGTTGGCATGCGTCGTGCAGTCCATCGGGCGACGCACCATGCTCATGTCACCGCTGCCATCGTTGAACGCGAGGAGGATCGGGAACACGTCCAAGTCCGTAATGCACTGGTAGACCGAGAAGCGGCGCTGGCGCTTGGGCTTCTTGTAGTGGTTCTAGATGACAAAATGGAAAATAGTCGCAGGGGTAGGGCAAGTACCTCGACGATGACGCGGAGGATCTCGAGGATTAGCGTCGGGTCCTGGTGCTTGCGCTGAATGGGCGCGAAGAGCGACCGAAGACACTCGGGCGACTCGAAGAGCGGCGAGTTGGCAAACACCGCCATGAGCCGCAGCACGCAAGTCTGCGGGAAGCCCACGGCGCGCTCGGTTTGGCACTGAGCGAGTACGTCAAGGAGGTTCTGCGCCATGTGCTCTTCGTCTTCGAGGTGCGCCTTGGCGTCGCTGTACTCCTACACAAGTATACGTAGTCGTACACGCAGTACTGTCGCGCCTGTACCCGCAAAATGAACACGAGCGCGTTCGTGAGCTTGTTGAAGAGACCTGCAAACTCGACGCCGCGGTCGACAAGGTCGGGCAGCGTGTACGGCGCGTCCATCATCGACTGCGCGGCCTTGGGGATGATTTGCTGCAGCTGGTTTCGCCACACATTGTGGAGCTGCGAGGCCACGTGCACCGGAAACCGGAGCGTCGACGCTTCCGGATTTTGCAAAAAGAGGTCCAAGTACAAGTCGCCGACGATCGTGCCGTGGTCCCACGCGTTGAAGTCCATGCCGTCGGCCGGAAACGAGAGGAACTTGTCGTGGACGTCGGTCGTGCCTTCGATGCGCGTGAGCACCTCGTCCATGTGTCCACGCAGCGCGCGGCGCATGTCTTCATTCCAAATGAGCTCGGCGTCGTGCGCGTCTTCTTCAAAGACGGCCTCGAAATTCTCCGGGTCGTCCATGAGCGTGCTCACCAGCGCAAACGGCAGAAAGTGCCGGAGGTTCTCGACACCCAGTGCTTCGATATCGTCGCTGAAGTTGAGGATCGCACCCCAGACCGGCGCCGCCGCCGCGCGGAGCGTCTCGGCCGCCAAATGCGCGTCTTCCGTGTAAAAGTGCCGCGCCTGGATCGTCATCGAGAGCAGTTGAAGCCATACGTGGCTCTCGAGGAGCCCGATGCAAATGTCGGCACTCGCGCTGCAGAGCGCTTGGAGGCACCCGAGGCTAAAGTCGGCGGTCTCGTCACCGGCGTACTGCTCGGCTAGGTTGAGCATGGGCTGGCAGAACGGCTCGAGCGCCGAGAGCACCTGCGCGTCGCAGTGCTCGGCGAGCGTCTCCATGCACGCCATGGCCGCATCGCGGCGCTGGACAGCATCCACATCGATACCCACGGACCCTTCGGAGAGCGGAACGCCGCCGGCCATCGGGTCTTGCGTGAGGTAGAGGCCGATCGCGTGAATGAGCGGCGGCTCCGAGAAAGACTCGAGGACGCACTTTTGCACCTGCGTCGGGTGGGCGAGCGTGAGGTGCCGAAAGCAGTCGAGCGCGAGGAGCGTCTCGGCGTACAGCTCGTCTTGCGGATTCGCGTGCTCATGCAGAAACACGAGCAGCGACTCGCAAAACTCAACGGCGACCGACGACGGCAGACTCTTGTCGACCGTCGGCTCGTTGTAGATACGCAGGTACACGCCCCCGACGATCGGCTCGCCCATGAGCGTCTCAAATTCAAACTCAGAGGCGGATTGAATCGCGTCGTACGCGTGGGCAGGAAACTCGAGGACCGTGTCGAGGTACAGGACGACCTCGGACCGCATGGCGTCGTTCCAGATACACTGTGGCTCGTGCGTCTCGCCAAAGACAAGGCTTAGAATGTGCTCGGGGTCGCCTTGGGTGAGCGCCGGCTTGGACCAAATGGGCAGCAAGGTCGAGAGCGCGCTCTGTACGTTCGGCGTGGCCTTGCACTCGGGGTCGTACCCGGCGAGCGCTCGCACGCAGCGCAGAGCGGCCCACACGACTTGCTGCTTGGCGGGCTGTGGGCCGTACAGCAAAAGAAGCTGCAGGCACTGCCACAAGACCGACGATGCCTCCAGGATTGTGGTCTGGGACGTCTCGTGCCGCGCCATGAACGAGAGAATGTCGAGGCCGAGGATCGTCATGTTCGGGTGCAGCAGATCCATCGTGATGAGGTCGCAGACGATCTGCACAACAGGGCGAATCGACGGCTTCTTGGCCTCGACCGAATCCTCGAACGCGAGCTCTTCGCGGCCCACCTCCGTGTTTGCCACTGCGAGGAGCACACGGAAGGCGAGACCGCCAATGTAGTCGAAGTTCGAGTCTGCCTCCGAGACCCAGCCGTCTTGGTACTTGCGGCAGAGGTCGGCGATCTCGATGATGGTCGGCAGTCCGCCCGCGCTACATAAATCACTCTTAGAGTCTTGTAGAAGGCAGGCAAGCGCACCGGAGCATCTGTTCGACGTTCCACGGCGACGAAATCATGGTCGCGAGGAGGAGCTCCATCGTCAGCGAGAGCAGCTCCATGATCGGACCGTCCGACTCGAGCGACGCCGGCGGCAGCTCAATGTCGACGCGCAGGTCAAAGCGCGCGAGGAGCTTCAAGAGCAAATCTAAAGCACCGAAAACCATGAGATATATGTCAAGTCACCAAGTGAAAGAGTATCGTACCTTACGACTCGTACGGGATCGACTGGAACGTCGACTGGAACGTGTCGTAGAAGAGAAGCTGCGTACGCAACAGCAGCGACAGCGTCTTGTGCGGCAGTTTGTCGAGCTCGCAGTCGCTCTCGGGCACACACGAGAGCACGATGAAGGCCTCGTTGAGCCGCGCGAGGTCCACGTTCTCGTCGGCGCGGCAGATGGCGCGGTACCGGCCACGCAAGAAGGCACCCTCGGTCTCAAACGTGCCTTCAGATGCATCGATCTTGAGCAGTGCACGCGCCGCCGCCTTGGTCATCCGACCTAAGATCATCATGACACAAAACACATGTTTTGGTGGACGGACTCTCGGCGATCGCGATCTGCTCGCGCCACGTCAGGTGCAGCGCGCGCATAAAGCCAAGCGGGTCGGTCACTTCGTCTGCCACATTGACGCGCGTGGGCTCGGGCGACGCGTCCTCGGCTGGCTCGTCCGGATGTCCGTCGTCAGCACCGGCGTCGTAGTCGTCGCCGTCGTCGTAGCCGTCACCGTCGTCATAGCCGTCACCGTCATGAAACTCGTCATAGCCATCGTCGTCATCGTACGCTGGCTCGCTCTGTCCGTTGGCGTCTTGCGCGCGCACAGCGCGGGCGTGCGACACGTGGTCATGCACGTCGTCGTCGTCCGGGTCTTCCGGGAAGAGGCGCGAGAGGTACATGTTGTAGACGTAAATGTCATCGCGCAGCTGGAGGTAGATCACTGGCGGCATCGGCGAGTACTCGAATCTACGCAAAGATACACGCTAAGAGTCTTCTTCAACGAGAGACGAAGCGTACTGGGCCGTGCTGTCTTGGTGAAGCCGCGCAACGAACGGACTTAAGTGCTCGTGGAGCATGAGCTGCAGATGCTCGCGCATTTCTTGAAGCCAAATGACGCGCCCGTCCGTCATACGCATCGTAAAGACGTCGGCAAAGACATGCGGACCTTCGAGGTCGAGGATCCGGATGAGCGCTTCGGGCAAAAGTCCCTCGAGGATGCTGTGGCGACCGGCAATGTCCTTTTGCCGGCGGTGCGTCTGCGCCAGGACGAGCGCGTGCTCGATGAACGAGACGCGACTCGCGCTTGCAAACATGAACCAGATGGCGCCACACTGGTAGAGGTGTGAGGCCTAGACTCGTTGTCAGTGGTCCGCAGGATAGAGCGAAGTGTCCACCGTCGCATCGTTCATGGCGACCAGGCGATGGAGAATCGCGATCGCACTCTCGACGATCGCGCCTTCGTTGCAGAGCAGCAACTGCACGACGTTGGAGAGCGAGATCGGGTCGCCCAAGAACCGCTTGCCCTAGTGTCGCGTCAGAATGACTTCTTTGAGAGATCAAGGACGTACCGCAGGCACAGGAAAGTACTGCAGACCCGACGACGTCCGGTCCATTTCGCACTCGACAAGCGCGCGCACCTGCACAATGAGAATCTAGTTGTGGACAGATTGCCTCATAGTATTTACCAGCGTCGTGGTGTAAATGCACACGTTGACGTGAAACGGCGCTTGGACAAAGAGACGCCACCGGACGCGCGGGACGCGGAGGAGCGGTCGCCACTCGCGCTCTTCCGGCGCCCGCTCGTTGTACATGGAGAGGAGGATGCGGCTCCAGTTGGACGTCTTGGTCGAGCAGATGGCCTGCAGAATGGACTCGGGGTGCGGCCCCGACACGCTCGACATGTCGTTGTCCTTCATGACATACCTACAACCTCCTTGTAGCACGGACCCTTGCATTTAAGTGGTGTACCAGTAGACTTCGCCCGTGAACGTCTCTTCGACCGCGTCAATGTTGGTCTCGCCTTCGTCGAGCTCCGTCTCGTCCATGCCGGCGCGCACCGACTGCTTGAAAAAGTTGAAGTAGGAGAAGCCCGACTTTGGCGGCCCGCCCTCGCCCTCGATCGACTTGGGCGTATTGGTGATCCACTGCGACGACCGAGCCGACTTCTTCATGGTCTTGACGTCGCTCGTGGCGACCGGCGTGTTTTCGTGGATGAGCGTCGACATGTCCAGGAAGAGATCGACGTTGTCCTTGGCGAGAATAAACTGGCACGTGTTCTTGTTGAGCGCCACCGTGCTCAGCCACGCGAGGAGGTACTCGATGATGTGCGCGCGCGTCTCGCCCCGCAGCATGCGCACCACGTACTGGATCTTCTCCATCTACAATTGATACCTTGATATATATCATGTCTGTCACGATGACATACCTCGATGGGCCCCATGGTCGGGAACGCGCGGTACGTGGCGACCATGAGCTGGAGGCACCAGATCTCGGCGCGGTCTAATTGCGTCGAGGGAACCACGAGGCTGTCCGAGTCGACGCCGACCATCGACGCACTCCCGTACGGCGTCACGATGCAAAACGGCAGTTCTTGGAGCCAGCGCTGAAAACACTTGTCAAAAAACGCTTTGGGGGCCGCCGAGATGTCGTTGATGGCGTGCGCGACGACGGTCTTGTAGTTGCCGTGCGCCGCGAGGTCCAGATCAATGTCGACAAACGACTGCGCTCGCTTCCGGTGCAAAGGCTCGCAGAGCACGATCCCGTCGTGGACGTTGTCGATCAGAATGCGCAGAAAGTACGGCCCGACCTTGATCTCTTTCAGCAAACTCGCATACTCGACCTTGAACGACGCGTGGTTCCACGCAAACGGCATGGCGCTAAAGTGCTTGAGCGGGTGCGACACCTCTTCCTCGTGCTCCAAGATGGCCTCTTCGAGCGCGTACTTGAGTTCGCGGCGCGTCGTCGCATTCCAGATCGCATCCGGCAGCGCAAAGCCGTGGAGCAGCAAATGCGATACCAGGTGGAGATCCCGGGACGTCTCGCACTTGTAGTTGTGCGGCATGTGCGAGTGCCGCGACGCCACTTCAAGCTCGAGCGCGTTTGGAAACTTGAGGACGCGCGCTTGGAGGCGGCCGCTAAACTTGTCGATGGCGTCGCAGAGCTCTTCCTCGTCGCCGTTGTCGTCGACGGGCAGATCCATGTGGAAGGACGCGCGCGAGAGGAACGTCGTCGACGTCGCCAGCGGATCGTCGTCCTCGGGCGCGCCAGTCTTGGGCGGCAGCATGCCGTCGCCGTACTCTTCCAGCATCTAGTTGTAGAGGAGAGGGTTAGGGTCGTTAAAACGCCACAAAATGTTGTACCAGTTTCTTGGTCTCTGGGTACGCGAGCATGCGCAGGAAGCCCGTGGGAAGGATGCGGTGCAGGAGCTGGAACGACGGGCGGTGGGCCGTCATGAAGACGGACGCGACAAACTGATTCACAAAGCGCTGGTCGTGCGTCGGGGAGTACCACCCCTTGTAGAGATGCCGGAGCGTGAGCCCGCCTGCAAAATGATACATGAATACAATGCAAGCACAACGGAAGCGTACCGTTGAGCGCCATGTCGCAGATGGCCTGGCGCGTCGCAGCGTCGGCGTTCTCGACCACCATCTTCATGATCATAACGCATGCTTCGAAGGTGCCAATGACCGGACGTGAGTAGAGGATGCCGAGCACACGCGGGAAGATGTGGCCAAACTTGCTGATGAGCTCCACAAAGTGCGCATTGTTGGTCGAGCCGCGGTGTGTGCAAAACACCGAGTCAAAGAGGCTTGATACCGCGAGCAATGTCAGCGGCCCGTACCCCGGGTTGAGCTCGTCCTCGAACGCATGCAAGAGGTGGTCGACGAGCCGCGTGTTGACGAAAATGCGCTTCTTGTTGGCAGCTTCGCGGCTTTTGCCGTCGGGGGACCCACTCGCGTCCTGCGAGAGCGCATGGATGAGCTTGATGGTCCAGAAGATCGACGACTCGTTCTCGGTCGTGAAGACAGCGAGGAGCGTCTCGAGAAGGCTGATGCCAGGGATGTCCAAGACACTGAGCTCGGCGTGCTGGAGCCAGCAAAACGCTTGCAAGATCGCAATGATGGCGCGGTGGTCGCGCGTCTTGCACGAGAGCATGAGCTACAATGAGGTTAGTTAGCTCAAGGAAGACGTCGGCCATCGAAGCGAGTACGTACGACGTTGGACATCTCTTTGCAGACTTGCGGGATCCACGCAGCATCGCTCTCGAAGCGCAGCCGCGTGTGCCGGCTCACACTGCAGTTGGCGTTGAACTCTTCGACCGCGTCCACAAAGCCTTGGGTGTCGGCGTCGCGGATCTTGCTCAGATAGTAGACGCCCATGCTACACTATCGCATGAGCTCTTGCTGCCACAAGAACGGAGCGTACCCTTGCGGACCAAAGTAGAACGCATGTTCCTTGTCCGTGCCGACGACCGCGCGCGGAAGGAGCTCCATCACAAGCTCGGACGGCTTGACCTGCATGCCGATGCACATGTCGCCGACGCTGCGCTCGTCTTTGTAATTCATGCACGCATCGAGCAAGGTGGTCATGATCTCTTCGCGGGCGTCCGCGTCAAACCTAGTTGTCGCATTTGCGCCTGTCCATATTGTGTTGCAAAAACGTACCAGATGGACTTGCCCGAGACAAAGTTGAGCTGGAAGCGCGTCGGGTGGCGCTCGAGACGTGTCACCGCGTGGATGCTCGAGTAGCGCCACATGCGGAGGTTGTCGCCAGTCTCTTCGCACTCGAACACTGCGTCGGCGGTGAAGCCAAACACCTTGCGCTTTCTAATTTGCAGAAAAGAGGTCTTCGCATCGTGCGTTCTCAAGGCAACAGTGACATACCCGGTCGCGTCCGCCTTGTGCGAGCTCACGCGCACGACGGGAAACTGCAATAAGATCTGCGTCTGCGACGACGCGACCGACGGCCGGCACGTCAGAATCTGCTCGTTGCGCAGAATGCCCGTGATCTCGAGCTGGATGCCCAGATGCCCCGCAAGCGTTTGCCTACGCCAAGTTGTCCTACCTCTTGTAGACTGGAAGGAGTTATATACATGAGGTCAAAGATTTCCGTGCGCTCGAACGAGTAGACAATGCGGTGGCGACCCGAAATGCGCAGCACGAGACCGCACGGGTCTTCAGCCATGAGCCCGATGCCGCCTTGGATGCGTCCGTAGTCGTACATGGAGCGCTTTCCAGGCGTGCCGTTGAGGTGGCCGGTGGTCCAGACAATGAGACCGCTGGGGGCGACGTAGATCGCGCTCTTGACTTGGCCGAGCTTCTGCGTCGCTTTCGAGCCCTCGTACTTGACCGCGTGGATCTGGAGCCGGTCAATGGCCAAGTCCAAGTCGCCGTCCAGCAAATGCATGAAACGCTGGAGAAACTGGGACTTGAAGCGGTAGCGCAGCCGAAGCGCGACCGGGTGCGTCCGGTGGCGCAGATCCTAGATTCATGTTAAACGCGCGTGTCTTGTGGCCGTGGAGGGTACCTGGTCGGGGGTCGAGGCCATGAGGAAGCTGTAGTATTGCTTGATGATGCGCTCAGGGCTCTCCATGTAAAAGTCGCCGGCCAGGTCCTGGCCCAGGTCCCGCAGCGTCGCCTCGTGCGTCTTTGTAAAGTTGAGCACGGACGAGTGCACCATGTGGTCCAAGATGCAGACGATCGACTCGACCGTCGACGTGACGGGGAAGTGAAACAGCGTTCGGAGCAGCATAAAGTAGTGCATCGAGACGTGGCTGAGGAGAATGTTGAAGAGCGGGTCGACCGCCATGCCGTCGACGACAAACGACATGAGCGCGTCGAGGACTTCGGTGAGGCGCATCACGAGCACCGCGTTTTGCTGCGGGTCCTAGTGTGCTCGTGAGTTCAATTCCGCTGAAACCTCCTGTTATTATACGCCATGAGGGGACGGGTGCAGTGGCTGGAAGAGCGCGAGGAGGGCCGTCGCAAAGCCGTTGTGCGACAAAAACACCTACAAATGTTGGTCAAATTGAATTCAAGTCGACGGAACGTACCTTGCGCGCCATTTGAGCGAGGAACCGCTCGGGGTTGTGCAGCAGGCGCGCCATAAGCCGGAGGACCCAGTACGTTGGATGGAACTGCTGCCGCTTGAGCGTCTCGGCCAAGGCGTCCATGTACTCGGAGCGCTAGACAATAGTGTCCTTAGCATTCGCCAACGAAAAAGACACGCACCGCCAGCATGTCGAGTGCGACTTTGGCCGCGTTCGGGTGCGTCACGAGCCGGTACAGGGCTTGGAGGTACGACGACACGATCGACATGTCGCGCTGAGCCGTCCGCATGACATGATTGGGCAACTAGTCATAGCCAATCGTGTCCTTCAAACACAACAATTTGCAAATGTACTTCGCCCAGCAACAGCGATACAGCCGCCCCGATGTCTTCTTTGAGCTTGGTCGAGACACCCGCGATCGTCACGTTGGCATTGAGCTCGGTCACCATGTCGCCGACCGGGATGCCGGTCTCGGGCTTGGAGCCGCTACCGCGGTGCACCTTGAGTGTCTGGAAGATCGACGGCGACTTGGCTTTGCCCGAGTCGGCCTTGCTGTCGCCCCCGCCCACGAGCCGCTGCAGCCACATAGATTGGTACTGGACGGCTTCGGACGGCATGGCCGCCGGTGCGTGCAGCATGCGCCGGAGGAACATGCGGTCGCCACGCGGCGTCCGCGTCTTTGCGAGTGGCACGAGGTTCCCACGCGCTTCGCAGCACGAGAGGAGGTGGCCGAGAATCGCTTCACGGTGGATCGAGAGATACGTGCGCCGGAGGCCGTTGACAAACTCGAGGTCGAACGCCTGCGGGTCGTCTTCGTGCCTGCGCGCCAATAAGATCTCAAATGCTAAACTTTTCAGCGTACCGAACGAGCTCGAAGAGCTTGGTGAGTGGCTGCGCAAAGGCGACAATGTTGCCGTCGTCCATCTCACACACCACCGCGTCCGTCAGCACAAACGACCGCCCGTACAGCTCCTAGATCATGTACGGATGCCACGATCGTCCATGGCATCATCAAACGTACCGATTGGCCGTCCTCGACCAGGATCGGGATCTGAATGTCGTAGCGGCAGAGGATCCCGCCGTCGGTGAAGCCCGCAAACTGCATGTGCTGCGCCTGAATATCGGAGGCTGTCTTTTCGCGGTTGATGGCGACGTTCACGTCGTGGCTGAGTGCAGCGTCGAGAATCGCGCGGACGACGTCGTTGGGCGCGGGCGTGTGGAAGATGTGCACCATGTCGCCGGTCACGATCCCGAGCAGCGTCGGGTCGTCGAGCGCGAGGTCGATGCACTGGATCTTGGTAAACTCGGCGTACGGGAAGATGTCGGCCGTGCCGCCCGTCTGGTACAGCGCGTCGACGCCAACTTGGAGCATGCACTCGGCCAAGGTGCATTGGATGCGCCCGGGGTTGGCGGCGTCTGGGACAAAGACTTCGACATGCGCTGAGAACGACGTGAGTTTGGCGAGGACGTTCATGTGGCGCGACCGGCGCTCCATCGCAAACGACGCTCGCGCTCGCGCGAGGGCCTGGAGGATCTCGGCGCGGAACCGGAAGCGCATCTTGAGCTGCACCTTCTTCTTGAGCCCGAGCATGTTGATCGTAAACTCCTATCGCCAAGGGTTGAGACACTGCAAAGAAGACGCGATCGATGGACCGTCTTGTCTTCATGCGAGAGGTCGATGGACGAGATGGCCTCGTACGACCACTCGTTCGTGATCGCGCCCGTCTTGGGATGCACAGTCGCAAACGTGAAGGCGCGGAGACCCAGAATGCGCTCCTGCTTGCCGCTCCACTTGACCTTGATGACGAGGAACTTGTCGGTGAAGATGGGGTCCACCATCTTAGAGTCGTCTCCTTCTACGCGCACAAGGGAATTGTGCCTACAGTCAAAGTCCAGCGGCAGAGGAATTAAAGGTCGGGCACAGCCAACTGTCCAATCACGCGAAACCGCTGCCATCTGTTTCAGGTGCCCGTTTCGCGGCAGAAGGGACAGCCGTTGGTCACCACGGACGGTGGCTCTTGTCGGCCATCGTTGAAAAGATGGTGGCGCCTTGAGCAAAGCCCGCAACGGGGGCGCTCGTTCATCGATGGACACAGTATTAATATCGAGTCGCGCGCGAGAGTGTATGCATACACGAGGCTAAGATCCGTACGAACTGATCTTCTGTTTTCTCATTGAGACGCGATGGAAGCAAGCGCAGGACAACGACGACGGTAAAGCGGTCTCTATGGATGTAGACCTCAACGAGGGGCGTCTCGCAGGCCGTGCTGCCGGCCAGCTAGCCTCCTTACCACACGCCTTGCTTGTATAACGTTATACTAGTCCAAAGCAACAACGCCAACCACCAACAAGCATACGAAAAGATGTATGTAGTGGTAATAATACTAGACATGGTCTAAACCGTGGTCTAGACCGTGGTCATGCGAATGTCAAATTTGAAAAATGCCACGAGAAAGGCCAGAATGGTCACGACACCGCCGACAAGAATCGGCAGCGCGTGCGTCAGCGACGTGGTCACAAGGATCGGCGACAGAGCAAACGTGAGAAGCTGGCCGAGGCAGTTGGCCGAGTTGAAGGCGCCGGCAAACATACCGAGGCCGTTGAGTTCGCCGTACCCCACGACATGCAAAATTACGGGAATTTGCATGGAAAAAACCATGTTTTGGGTCACCGACATGCCAGTCACGACGACGGCCGTGAGGATCTTGCTTCGGACAAAGAAGATGAGCACGAGGAGAGTCTGCGGCACAATGCTAAACACGATGACGCGCCGCGCGCCAAACTTGCGGACGATCGTCGGTAGCACAAAGAGGTAGAGCAAGCCAAAGGCAAGGTGGAGCGTGTCGACGAGGCCGGACGCCAACGAGACGCCGTCACTGTAGCGCTGCTGCGGCGCGTCGCATTTAGGGCACTTGTCGGCGCCCGTGGCGTTCCCGTCGTTGAGGACGAGGCCAAAGTACTGGTTCTTGTTGCCGTTGTAGCCCGCAAAGCCAAACTCGAGCAGCACAAAGCCGATGCAGTAGACGGTAAGGAGCCGCGGAAGGAACTTGATACCATGGTAGACGGCAAGGAACCCGTTCTTGACGTCACTTTGGAGCGGCGTCTCGGGCACAAAGGGCGTCTCTTTGACGCAAAATACGACGGGGAGGACGGTCACGATCAAGATGACAATCAGCATGGCCATGAAGCGCATGAACGACTCGTGCGCAGGTCCAAAGACCGAAATATAGCCCGAGACGACGAGCGACCCGACTATACTGTAGGCCTGCGCAATGCTGTACGCTGTCACTTGGCGGTCGCCGGCAAAGTCGGCAATGATAAGCGACGCCGGCACCTGCGCTGTATTGACGGCGGCGCCGCTGAGGACGTAGAGCGTGACCATGTAGCCCGTGCGCCACGAATCACTAATGTACGACGTGCACATCATGAGCACCCAGACAACGACGGTCGCGAGCGTGCCGACAACGAGGAACGGCCGGCGCCGGCCAAAGCGCGAGGTGCAGTGGTCGCTAAAGACTCCAATGGTGGGGCACACGAGCAGTCCCGTGATCGGGCCTGTGATCTGGACAAGCTGGACGGCCCAAGACGCGAGGCGCGTCTCGAGCGTCGGGCCGAACGCCGCCCACTGCGCCGCCCACGCCATCTGGATGGCCATGCGCGGTGCGCAGAGCAGAAGGAGGTGCGGCAGCGAGCAGCCTTGGTGCTCGAGGGCGTGGTAGTTGGCAACCATATCAAATTGTAAAATGAGTGCCAAGATGCAACGAGATGAGCGTGGCAAAGCTACTACAACCTCGTGCGACGAGGTGCAATCTAGAAATCGTGCCACCAAGTTGCGAAAGGAGAAATGTGCGATAAAGCGTGATGGACAGGCCACTCGCGTCCCGAGCTGTCTACACCCACGTCGGGTAGACTTGCGTCGACTAGTGTAGTTCTACCTTCGCGAAATACCTTCGATCGTCGTGTGCATATCATTTGGTCTTGGTCGTCTGGTGACTTTGCACTTCAACATCATATCCGGATACGGAAATGACGCGGCAGCTGCTACTGCCATCCACCCAGAACTTCCACCCCAGCCCAGCCCACCTGTACTACACCCATGGTTAGAAAGTTGGTCAGAGAACCACACGTCCACGACGACGTTATCACTGCGTAAGGACGGCCAACAACCGGAATGCCAACCGTATTTTTACACTGAAAACGACACGACAACGGAACAGGAGACAGAATCACCCAGGCGCGTAGGTGCATTGCGCATGCTGTGTGTCCGTACTACGTAAGCGTAGTAGCTTGCGCGGCGCTATGGGTGGTGCAGCGCGGGTATAAAGCATGCAGAGATTTGAAGGGATAGTACTGTTCTAGCAGCTAGCTTCCATGAAACGCAGCGGATTTTGCGTTGGATGGCTTGCCGCTGGAAGATTCTTTCTGCATGCAGTTAAGGCACGCGATGTGCTACGTCGTTGCCTCACCACGGGTTGTGACGAAGGCGATGGGACCTAAAGTTGCGTTCTTTCACAAATATACCATTTACGTTTCGCTAAATCACGCAACTCCATGAGGTTTCGCGCCACGGCAACCCACAGGAGGATCCAACTCGTACTACAATTGTACACTGTACTCGGATTAGACAATCGTCGAATAGATAAATGGTATTTGCGACTTAAAGCGAAAACATGCGAATGTCAAACTTGAAA